GTCCCTGGCATCATTGCACTCATATTTGATATGGAGAATTTCATGACCTCCAGCTGCCGCTCTGTGAATGAATGGCCATTGAACACATCATCCCAGAGCACATCCTGGCTTGGTCTCAGATCCTGCCCAGTGCGCCAAGGCTTGAAGAGTGTGAGCATGGTCATGCAATATTGTTCACAGTTGCCTGCATCTCTTCTGGGGAGTGAACCACCAATGAAGTTGGGAACATATGCCTCAGACTCATCCAGCAGCTTCACATGATGGGTCTCATACTGTGGATGATTCTCATGGAACTGTACATATTTTGACCTAGATTTCTTTGGCTTAGGTGCACTATCAGCTTCAAGCTCCTGGTTGGATGTCTTTGTCAGCAAAAGTTCATCCTCAGATTCTTCTTCTTCTTCATTGGCTCCAGCACCCTTCAATTCTGCATCACTGACATCATAGTTGTCCTCAAACTCCGAGTCCACATCCGCATGCTCATCAATATGCTCTTCAGATTTCTTGGGGCCCTTTTTACGGTGCTTGATCCGCTGCTTGTCTGCCAGTCTGACCCAATCATATAGTGACATGTGCTCGTACTCAGTGGGTCACCATATATAGTCCTGCACAGGTGACAATGCTATGATCCGCTTGGATGTTCCTGAAAGTCCGAGCATGACTTTGGTGGTCCCTTCCTCGGCAATCTTGGCAGAGTCCTCCCATGCACGCATCACCTCATACACATATCCTCTCCAGAAACATGTGCGGAATTTGTGGCTCTTGTAGTGGTCTGGATGCTTGAGCAAATACATGGCTGCCATGGGTCCACCAATTTGAGAGCATGCAGTGAGTGAGTTCACTATCTTGGTAATCAGTGACCGAGCCTTCTCTCTGGTAGACTTTTGACTGCCTAACAGCTCCACATTGCGCTCAAACACCTGCTGGATAGACTTTCATCACATGGGTTTTAAGTGGGGTTTTTGTTATGTAATCAGCAACATACACTATGACAGACTTGATGGCAGTGCCCGACAGCAGAGAAGTGACATCGGTGTTCCCGCGCATGAGATATGTGACCGCAGGGGTGATGGTATTGATCCAGGCCTCTCCCTTCTTCATGATCAGTGCACCAGTGCTTGGGTCTACCACAGTCTCTGGATGGGTCTCTCTGGGGAACCGGGCTTTGCAATTTCCATTTTTGTCTGTACAGCCTCAATTATCAAATTCAGGTTGGTCAGATTTATCCAGATCAGCCTTGTCTTTTTTTGAGGATGCCCGACAAGTGTGCCTGTTCGACAGATATAAAATTTCATCCACTGTCTGCTTGAATCTGGTCCACCAGGATGCATGCTTCTGACACTGATCACAGTCTGCTTTGGTAGAGTGGTCGCACTTTCTGGGTGGTGGCTCTGGCAATGTCTCTGTGGGTGGGACCCTGGATGGATTTTTGTGATCTTCCTCGGCTATGTTCTGCTTCACACTCTCCATGCTGCCTGTCATGAATTCACCCATGTGCACACTCTCTAGATACTCCACCATGGCCTTTTGGAAGTCTGAGTTTGGATCCATGATTTTATCTCGGATTTCCTGGGGTGTAAGGGCATTTTTGATCCAGATAAGCATGTGCATGTGCAGTGTTAGCCGACCCTGTTGTTCCACTGTCCCATAATATCCTGATGTTTTTCCATACAGCCCTGGTCTGTCCAATCCCACACAGTGGTGAATTGATGCCACAATGCCTTGCCTATGGATGCCTGCTGGTGTGCGTGACTGTTGGTGCGATGGATGACACGTCCAACTTTGTGCGAGTACTGTGCATTTCCACTCATGGCTGGGGGCAGCTGGGCAAAGTCTCCTGCAAAAATCATGTTGATCCCACCAAAGGGTTTCTCTATTATGTGAGCCTCATCAAGAATGCAACAGTTCATGCTGCACTTGTCGACAACATTGGCCTCTTCCCATTCTTCTTGGTGCTCGTTCCGGATGGGTCCCTGATACTCTGCTTGCACAGTCTTTACTGGGAACAAGGCGTACTTTGCAACAATCTTCTCTTCTACATTCTGGGAAGTAGAAATGGTATGTTGCTCTCAATAAGTTGCGTTCACTGAAGATGTACTAATAAATTGTTTGTTAGAATCAGGCTACTGGCATGTGGCGCAATCAGCAGCCGTTCCATTCTGGAAGCTGACTGACACCATGTTCACGGCAATCCAAGGCTCTTTTTGCCTATTCTCCGGATTCACCGCTAGCCTCCCACTTTTTGTGCACACAATAGGGCCGCTCAAAGTTGACGGAGCTGGGAGGCGCGCGTAGCTGGGAGGCGCCGTAGCGCGTTATCTCCTGCCATATCTGGAGGAAGCAATTGTGCCAGCGCTTAGATGATACTTTTCGGTTGTGTCGGAGATATACTATTTCGCTAAGTTTCAACGGGTTTTTGTCATATAATTCTAGCGATTGATGCGAGGTAGAACATGGTGACCTGCGTGAAGATCAATGAGCAACCCTACAGCCATTCGACGTCGATTTCGTGTGTTATGGGTCCCAAACAGCATAACAGAGGTGAGATGTGATCAAATACGGCTGCATCGCTGAAAAGACACGTTCAAAAATTCCCAAAAATCGGGTGCCACTGTGAATACCTCGAATTATAATATATAACACATTTTGACGGAGCTCGTTGCTTTACAGAGCTGTGGTAACCCGTAAAAGTGCGAAGTAGAGGGATCCAGTTTCGTGGGATCTTAGCGCCCGCCGCCTGTACGATCGCTCCCTCCGGATATGGTAGGAGGTGCGCGTTATCTCTGGGAGATAACGCGCTACGGCGCCTCCCAGCTACGCGCGCCTCCCAGCTCCGTCAACTTTGAGCGGCCCTAATCAGCGCCATAACCCTCATCTCGCTTTGTGTCACATGGTACACAGAAGTATCTGCACTCATTCACATCATCTCCTCCATTCTCGAGATTCACCAACTCACCTGCGTGAACCTCACACTCACTGATGACAATCTCATCATGCTGGCTCAGGCATGGCCACAGCTTGAAACCCTGGACATTGTGTTTCACCATGATCCATCAGTGTGATATCTCATTAGGGACACTCATCAAGGTTGCACAGGTGTGCCCCAGCCTCATCCACCTGTGTCTTCCTGCGCTCGAGTGTCCCAGAGATATTGCTGATATCACTTTCGCCCAGTCCCGACTCAAGGCTTTTTAGCATTGTAGTGCAGTGATCTCATATGGTCTGACTTTTCCCATGTGCTCAAGGCTTGCTCCTGTTAATCCATGCACAACAAAAGGACAGGCTCCATCATCTGCACCTTCATCTTCTTCACTTGCATTTACAGCTGACGCTTCAGGATCTACATTGGACTCCATGCTCTTTGAGTAGTTTACGATCACAGGCGGCTCATCCTCAGGATATGAATTAATGTTGTCATAAGATATCTCAAGATCAGCATAGTCAATGTGATTGAGTTTGAGCCATTCAAGTGCATCAGCCACTTTGTTACATCGTACTTGGGTGGAGAGGGCCATGGCTGGCAGGTCCGATTGATGAGAATGAATTTTTTAATGACATTGAATTAAACTGCCATTTGTTATTTGCTCTTTGGTATTTGTGCTATCTAAATAGGAGTAATATATACTCCTATGTAGTACAGAAATGCTGCATGTCTTAGTGTCAAAAGCACTGCAACAACACATCACAATTTTCTGAGTGATTCACCCTATTGGTGTATGCAATTTTAGTGTGTGCCATTTGGATAATAGCTGTTATGAACTGTTTACAGCCACTGCAGAAGTACATTAGCAGATGTGAGACAATAGTGTTCTTCACACAGTGCAGATGATTCATAAGCACTGATGTATATTATGTGTTATAACTGCACCACTTTCATCCAATCACAATATGCAGGACAATGTGAATCAATATTTTCTCATACATACAAACTATATCTGATCCATA